AGTTCTTTGTTTGTAAAATGAGACTATTTGACTAGGACACTTCTAAGGGTTGTTTCCAGTTTCAAAAACAAAGGCAGGATTGTCCGAATTTTCTTGGCCTTTTCCCCCTCCGGGCCAACACAAAGACAGTCGCCGCTAGGGGTCAGGCTTTTTACACTATGTCTCTTGTGGAACTTTAGATGTGGCAAGTAGTGCCACATTTAAGCTCTTGTACGCAATTTCATATTCCTAAAGATTGCTAAAAAAAAAAAAGAGGTTTCATAATTCTCTCTTCCAAAGAAACTCTTAATCTAGATTCCTTGAAGGTAACTCCAATCTATTTTATATTGCAATGTCTCAGTAGAAGGTGTTAATTATTAACTATCATGTTTAGGGTAAGATAGATGTTCTTCTGAGCAAGAATCAGCTGATATCTCCAGTTCTATATCTGCAAACTAGGGATCTAGGACTATATTCATCCTTTGAATAAATACTTCAATCTATAAACAAGGATAATAAATTTCCAGTGGAGGTAACTAACTTAAAAATGCCATGGCCAGACCAAGATCAAAACAACTTTGTGTAACCCCAAAACCCATGCTCTATTAACCAAGATACACCATCTGTCACATAGCTCTGCGAGCTTTGTTGCTAGGGGGAACCACCAGGCCTTCATCAAGGAATAGAAGCTGGAGATAAGGCCAGAGGGACCCCCAAAGTTACAGTGGGTCAGTAGCTGCCTGGATCACTTGGACCACTATGGAGGTGATTTAAAGTTAGCTCAAGAAGCCTTTGGTATTTTTCAGTGCAGGCTTTGAGATGCTTCAAAAGTTGACATTTTACAGAAGAAGTAGAAGGCAGTAAATTCCAAAGCAGTAAAATTCAAATGTTTTCTGATGTGTTGGATCAAAACTTGGGAACCTCAGGCACTCCACCCTACCCCTGATAACAGCTGCAAATGTTTGTTTTATTTCTGTAACATCTGGTCAGCCCGTGTGTAAACAGAATGAAGGGTCAGTGTAGGGAAAGGATCTGAGTGCCCCATTTGTCAGCCTCTTAAGGATACAGTGAACTGGGAGAAAGTTTGAGTTAGGAAGCTTTAATTTCATGGAAATTTGCAGAGCAGTTTCCAGTAGCATCTTGCTATTGTTTATTATCAGTCCATCTTCTGCCTGAAAACAACAAACGGGATAATGCATAAAGAAAAGAAATTTATTTGTTTCAGTTTAGGAGGTTAAGAAGTTCAAGGCCAAGGGCCACATGTGGGGAGAGTTTTCTTGTGGGTGAGCACTCTTCACGGGGTCCCAGGGTGGTACAGGGTATCACATGACGAGACCAAGTAAGCTTATTAATGCGAATTTTTTCCCTCTTCTTGGGAAGCCACTAATGCAACTTCTGAGGCCTTACCTGGACAACTTCATTTGATCTAAATTACCTTCCAACAGCCCAGTGCTAAATACCATGAACATACAACTGTGAGGATTATTTTAATATGAGTTTTGGAGGCAACATGCGTCTAGACCTTGGCTTTTACCTATGAGTCCCTTTCCACGCCACTGTGGAGAATGCAGCTAACCAAAGATAAGGTTGGATAATAGGAAAGACTCTGGGTTGAAAAATGGATGATTTAGATTCCAACTTGGGATCCATGAATAATTAACCTGGAGCTTCTAGGTAAATTATTCTTTCTAGGTCTCATTTTACTGTTTGAGTTATAATACAGTGGGGTCTTCTCTAAGTTCTCATGAAGCTTACTCTTCAAATTTTAGGCATCATTCTAGTACCTACCATACTACTATGTTTATTCTAGAAGGATGTTTCAATCCATGCCTCTCTCATTGTCTGTGGGGCTATATCCAAAGTTATAAGTACCCTCTTCCAATTTTTGTATGTCAAACGAATTTCACCTTGTCTTAGCCCCAAAGAACATGTTTGGGCTAAAGTCAGTGTTGAAAGCAGACTTCAGTCTCTCAATTACTGATTTTATTTAAAAAAAACTAAGCAATGTCTTTTCCTTATTTACAATTATACAAATATTTTTTGCTGAGCCAGATTTCTAGCATGAAACATACAATTTTAATGTTCAAAGATACTTCTTAAATGTATCAATACATTTTCACTTCCTAAAAAGTGGATCAGGGTAAAGTTCTTGTTTGTAGTAAGTAGACTATTAGCCATTGTAAATTATATGCAAACAAAACAACGTATTGAGAATGTATAAATTGAATAGTAAGTAAAGAAGGTTGGCTGTTATGGTTTGTTTCTAGATGTCTCCCCAAAGCCTTATGCACTTTGAGATGGGAATTTTTTTGGAGGTAGCTGAATGTAGCATTTATAATTGATTCATGATTCAGTGCTAGGATTAATGATGCTGGGATTCAAGGTGGGTGATTGCTGGATCAGTTCACTGATTGGATTGGCACCATCCTAATCCCAGCAGTCTGGATAAGATAAAAGGAACAGAAAGAAGCTTCTCTCCCCTTTTTTGATCTGGTAGTTTTTGCTGTCTCCTGCTGCCACGATGAGCTGTTGCCCTTCCGTCATGCCACCCTGCCTTGGAGTGAGCTGATTATGGACTGAAACTTCCACAAACTGTGAGCTAAATAAGCCTTTCCCCTTTTAAGTTTGGGTGTCAGGTATTTTATCTCAGCAATGAGAGGAAAGTAACTAAAACATTGACTCAACTAGTAGACAATGAATGGCTGATGAAGGTTTTTAGCCAAAGGTGTACAGTGGCACCTGGCACTAGTAGGTGATCGGGTCGAGAAGCACTGTAAGTACCAAAAAGTATGAGAACCAAGCAAATTGCTTAAGCCAGAAAGGGCAGAGAATCACAAGGTGAACAATACTAACAAGCTCTAGCTTGCTCTTCCATGACAAAATGGGGAGCACCAGAACAATATATCCGTTTCAAAATGTGTCAAGTACTAAATTCAAGGAGTTTGGAATCGGTTGAGTCCAAGGTATGACTGTAACACAATCTGAAACTAGAAGTTGAGTTATTTGAAGAAATTGCCCTTTATCACCCACTGCTAGGCATCAATAATAAGGTTGGCTTCTTAATTTTATGTTTATCTCACTAGGCTTCATCTCCCCACTTTCATTTCTAGGTTTTCACTCTAAGATGATGTTTTAACCTGAATAAATTGAAATAGAGGAAATGAGAATGCAGAGGCAAGAGGACTTCATGGGCTGAATCCATCTAATTAAGTCTGTTGTTTAAAAAGAGGCATTTCAGAGTTCCCCCCAGTAGGATCCCTTCTCTCAAGAAAACCCCAGTCTTCGTTTTATCTTTTCACAGTGCCAGTTGACTCTACTTCCAAGATGGCTGAGCATGTTGGGTACCAATCTAATCCAGCAGAGGGAGCTCTTGGAGCAGATTTGGGGATAATTGTGGGAAATCCGGGCAGGACAATCTCAGCCTCCTTTACCAATGGCTGGCTTGGTGTTATCTGAGTCCTACCCTGATCTAAAAGAGAGCTCATTGGTCCTTCTTGCGTTGCCTTATAAAATTCAGCTCATAGTCCAGTTAAACCCAGCTGAAGTCTCTGTCAGTTCTACCTTCTCTGCCCCCTATTGAAAAGACAGCAAAAAAAAAAAAAAGCAACTGATACTCAAACAACAGAAAGGAAATGAGTTAAGGAATGTGACATCCAGGCAGTTGCACAGTAGAGCTTCTGAAGACTGAGAAATCAGGAAAATGTTAACTAAGGTAGGCATTGTGTCAGACATAGCTAAATCTGTTTAAGCAAGACCTCTTGGTCAATCAACTCTTCCTACCTCCTCACCCACAAAGCAATTCATATAGCTTTAAAATGCAGTGTCAAGATACTATGGACAGAACCCAAATAATGACACAAAATGAACACTGCACTAGGAACGGGTAGCACAGATCCACAAAATTTTTTTCAGTCCAAGAATGATATAATCAAAGCTTAGCAACTGAGAGACCCAGCAAAAGATTTATCCTTTGCAACCAAGGACCAAGCCCAATTTGTAGTAAAAACAAACAAATAAAATAAGAACCACGGAACAGTAAAGATCTGCATTTCAGCCCTGGCTCCAAGAATTCTTGACTCGGTGTTTTGACCAGGTTCCTTAGATAAGTCTCTTTAAGCCTCAGTTTCCCTACATATCAAGTGAGGGAACTGAACTACAGAATCTGCCAAATTTTTTCATGTTTTATATTATTAATTATAAATTTTTGCCATCTTAGAATAGAATCTAACTTGTCCTTGGGAGATTCACATGAGGTAGATTAAAGGTAGCTCATTCAGTCATTAGTTAGTGAATAAGAATGAACTTCAGGGAGAGAAAAGCTGGTAGCTGAGACTTCAGCCATACGCCCCCTCTAACTTACATACCCCTTTCTAACACCAACAGCATATGTTGGGAGCCTGCGCAGGGAAGACACATCCATTTTTTACCCGCTTGATGGACTCCAGGATGGAAGGATGCCATTTGATAACAAATCAATGTAGGTTTTATCTTTTCCACAAATAGAACAAATGCTCTAGAAGAAACATCAAAGCAGAACTCTCTCCTATTATTTCGTAAATGCTGAGACACAGGTCTCCAAGCCACATAGTAATTGGTAGAATGAACCTGGATTGTGGTATCTTTATTGGCTAACTGTAACTTCTACCGTAAAACCTCTTTACTCACTAATCCCTGTAACCCTAATGATTCTGTTTAGACTTTCATCTCCCAATCATCATTAGGTCCTTCTGTTGCTTAGAGAGAGTAACAATCCCATCAAGCCTTCTCACACAGAGCTGCACCTCAAATACAGCAGAATCAAGTCAACAGTTTCTTTGGAAGCTACTGTCACAAAAGATGCCCTGAATTTGGGACCTTTGTTTCAGCTAAGGTCTTAGGTCTTAGTCATGTACTTCTATGTGTAACCCTACTTGAAATAATAGCTTACAGTAAAAAGCACAAGTATTTTTAAACCCAACTATAAAATAGAAGCACAAATGCAATCATTGTCAAACCTCAGGAAACTAGTGCAAACCAAAAGGTGACCAAAGAAAGATTTTTAATGATACTTTCATATTGCTAAGTTAGTTACTGAGGACTTTACTGTTTGAGTCTGAGTTTTTACCTAAAGCACCTCATTAGCACCATAACAGTAAAGAACTTTCTACATGCCAAACTTACAGCAAATCTGAGTGTGTGTCAAACAAAAATTTACCACCATGTCAGGTAGCCCTGGTTGACATGGAGCCTCTTCAGAATCCATTATAGGACAGGCTGAGATCCGAAAATCTTGAGAAACAGCTGGTTCGCATGAACCTCAATGCAGTCTTTTCAAATAGAATCTGTCTCAGCTGGAGTAGGAAGTAGATAGCAGACAAGTCTAGACAGAGGTTGCTGGCCAGGCTGAGCTGTGGCCTAAACAAAGATCTTTGTGCTCTGGATTCCTGGGGAGTCCTTCAGACTTGCATGCGATCTTAAGACAGGTCAAGCTTCCTCCCTGAAGAACAAGATTGCTGGATTTAGCTTTGTGTCTAACAAAGCAGTTACCTCATTCCTGCCTCTCTCCCCAACCAAGTGGGAGACACACACACACAAACACACACACCATGGTACTCACTGCAGACCTACAGTGTATTAGAGCTCCTAGGAGACTAATGTATGATGTATCCAACACAGATAGAACCCAAGCTCAGAGAGAGACAAGCTGCTATGTGCTTGGGGGAGGACAGGCCCAGTTCATTTCCACCCCTCCATCAAACAAAAATGTCTCACTGATTCCTACAGCCAATCCAACCACGCTCCTGTTCCCTGACCTCTGCTGGTCTGCCATGGCCCTCAGGAAGCCCTCTATGAAACATCCCTGTCTGCTTCTCATTCCCACCACCCTATTCACCTTCTTGACTGAGACACTCCTTCTCAGACTCTCCTGCCCATTTCTGGTTTCTGAGAGGCTGTGAGCAGTGCACCAAACTACAGTTTAGTTCACAAACGAAAGCAGCATCCCACAGTAGCCTCCCATGTTCTCCACATGTGCCTCGCCAGAAAGTCAAAAATACACTTACAGCTCATTTTTATTTTTAATAATATCTCTGAGTAATTAGCAAGGACGCTTGGAGCCTCTCAGCCCCCTCCTATAGGGTAGGGATGGCAAATACGCCCTTTTTATAGGGGAGATGAAGGAAATGAGAAAGGACATATGATTCATCCCCCGGCAGTGAGTCAGAAGAGGTGAAGATGACAAGACTTCTTGACCTGGGCACTGGTGACCCACTCGCAGAGCCAGGCATCCTACTGTCATTTTCACACATTTGGTATCTTCTTTCAGAAGTCCACACTCGGGCAAGCAGCTTACTCTTGAGTAAGTTTTTATTATGATGTAAAGGGCCAGGGACTTTGACTTTCCTCACCTCTGACCAGAACTTAGAATGCTAACTACATATTTTCTAATAAAGAAGCTTCTAGCTATCCAGGTTGTGGGCAGTGATGTAAATGGAGGTAATCCTGAAAAGCTGGACTGCCAGCAAAACTGAACAGAAACCCAGTTGAGATGGGAGGAATCCAGCATAGGACAGGCTGAGATCTGAAAATCCTGAGGAACAGCTGGTTCGCATGAACCTCTTGTGAACTTGAACTTGAACTCTGGGCCCAGGGAGTGAAGCCATGTACTCCCGCACCAACCTCCCAGCCTGCTGCTCTCCAAAGGGAGTAGGAGGAGAAGAGGTGAGGATTTTATCCCACAAACCCAGGTCTGACCTCCTTTGGGGTTTGATATTTATTTCCAGTATCCAATGGTACCCCTGCTTTGTGGCAGCTGAGAAGAAAGAAAAGAATTGTGGTGTTCTACTTCTTGTTGGCTTGGAGCATTTTGAAATCCTATGAGGCTTGTCAAAAGCAAAGTAGCAATGGGTCTTCTGCAGAGGAGCAAATGGAAGCCCGTACCCAAAGGCTGGTGTCTGACAGCCCAGGGGACTGGTGTGAAACAGCAGCTCCCACAATTACTGGTCGCTGCTAACATGCCTTGGATAAACACCCTCAGTCAGGTGACCACGTCATAGATCACCCAAAACACTTAGGGTGGCAGGAGGAACTATTAATAATCTTACCACAACAAAGGGCAAAAACAGGGAACACACAGCAGGATAGATGGTGGCCTTTCCTATCAGGGCTGAGACCAGCAATAAAGGGTAAATAGTTCTAGCAGACACAAAGATGGCATAACACAAGTTCGGTTGGTGATGTAGCGATATGATGAAAAAGTCCCTAGGCAGAGTCACAAGAGGAAGAGATCATAATAAAACAGAGGCATCTCCATCTGAGCTGAGTTTTCAGGGAAACAGAAGAGTTGAATGTGTGACAGTGAGAGGCCAAGCAGAGGCCATCAAACCGAGATGTAAAGGCTCAGCCAAAGCCCATAGGCAGGAACCTCAGGGTCTGTGGGTGGCCCAGGGAAAAGGCAGAGTCTATCTGAAGTGGATACAATAAAAGGATTGGCAAGACAAAGAAAGATGGGCAAGAAGGATGCCCCAGCCAGGCTGGGCTTGGTCGTAACCTAAACACACTGCTGGGGATGAGCTGTCCCCTGCTCATAACAGATTGCCCCAATAAGTTGTCCTTGTCCTGCGCCTTTGTTGAGACTGGTGAGACCCACATCTCCCAGGTCACTCCTAGCTCCACCAGGCCACTGTCCTCCCAGCTTGAGCGAGGGAGTTGCATTTGAGGAACTACACCACCACTTCTGGTTTCGGCACCAAGCACTTTCTCTCTCTAGCCACTGGAGAAGTAGGGCTCAGACTCTCGAGGGGAAGTGTCTTTTTAGCAATCCAGCAGGTCTAGAAAACTCTGAGGGTGGATTTTAGGGTCTATCCCACTGTGAATACTCGACCTCTGAAGCTTCCTGGTGAGACCACTCCTGTCCCTGCTTTCCAGCACACACAAGTCCAGTGGAATTCTGGTCCTTGGAGTTTTCAGAGGAGGTTCCTGAAGCTCAAGGCCCTCCGGGAGAGACTCTACTTACACCCTCAGCATCTGGGAGGTGGAAGGTGTTATCCTGAACACTGAAGGCATAAGATTCATACACGATCACAGAGCAAGCATCCGCTGCGGCTTGAACTCTCGGCCCAGGGAGGCAAGCCATGTACTCCCGCGCCAACCTCCCAGCCTGCTGCTCTCCCGAGGGAGTAGGAGGGGAAGAGGGAGCAAAGCGCTGTGGGAGGAGGTAGAGGAGCGAAAGGCGAGGAGAGGGAGGGGTGGAGGAGGAGGAGAGGGAGGGGTGGAGGAGGAGGAGAGGAATAGCAAGCCCTTCACTCTAGGGAGGGCTCGCACCCCACTTTCTCCCCACAAACACTCCCTTATTCCCTCCCTGACCCAAGAGAATGGGTCCAAGCGCAGCCTGCGGGGCTACCCGGCCTTTGAAAGCCACTTGTAAACTGGGCTGTGCGCAAGGGCGGCCGGAGGCGCTGGGGCCGGGGCCAGGAGGAGGGGATGGGCCTGCCTTTGGTGCCTAGAAATCAAAGCAGCCAACCTTGGGCTTTTTCTTCCCCTCACACTGAGGCATTTTTATTGGCGAGATGAAGGGAGGCAGAGCGGGCCTACAGCTCTCGCTTTGCTTTTGGAGGTTAATGACCCAGTTAGCAGCCCTTGGCTGCGTTTCCGACATTTTGCAGACATCAAGCCCTGCGCCTCTGCCAAGTACATTCTGTTCCCTGGAGCTCATCCAATGCATCTCAGATTACTATGTAATGCGACAAAGAGGGAGAGGTGGCTGGGAGGGGCCGGGAGGGCTGGGGGGGCGCGCAGGCGGGGAAGGGGATGCCACTCTAAATATAGCCGCCCTCCTGCGAGCGCATCCCTGCAGGTGCTTATTTATTGCACCGGAGCGAACGCGAAGTGGTGGGTACAGCGGGCCCCGTCGTCCAGGAATCCTACAGAGCGCAGAGCCCAGCCCAGGCCGACAGGGACAGAGGGAGGGAGCGGGGAGGGGCGGGGCTAGTGTGTCTTGGGGAGTGGTTAGGTCTCTAAGCCCCGCCCCCAGGCCACCTCCTTCCAGCCCCAGCCCGGCTGCAGCCTGCGCGCTAATTATAGACGTGAATGGAAAGCTGCCGCTTTTGAATGATTGCATTGCTCGCGCTGCCGTTGGAGGCTGGGGAGCAGGTGCTGCCCCGCTAGATACAGAGTGATTCATTTAAAAGTCCTCTGTCACGCACACATGCTTGACTCACACGCGCGCACCGTCGCGGTCTCGGTCACTGCCGGGGGATGGATTCTAGCACTGGTTTAAGAGGCTTTGAGCCTTCTGGCCGAACTCGTTCACAACTTCACACAGCCCCTAAAACCCTCCCCACGGATGAGAAGAGCCCCAGGCCATTTCCTTCCTGTTGGAAAGCAGTGTCTTGTTTTACAGATGGAGAAACTGAGGCTGGGGTAGGTCCTAGGGCCCGCCCTGGGCCATGAGTGAGTCCTTACAGCCACGCTCGGGTCTCCTGACAGCCTCTCCGTTTGCTTCACCGGGTAAGAACAGGAAGCTAGTCTCAGGGCACCTGTGCAATCCTAGTCCCTCCTCCTCTCCTATACAGAAAAGTTGCTAATGCTACAATCGCTCATCAATATGCTTAACACTCCCTGGCATGGCCCCTGAGGAACGTTGCAAACTATACCCATTTTCCTGACAGTTACGTGTGAGTCAATCTGATATACCTGCTCTCCGTATGACCTTGTCATGAGGAATGGGGGGTAGGGGTTCTTCCCTGTCAGCATCTTTCACACACCTGGTACTCACAGCTAACCAAGAGTGTTTGAGAGTACAATGACCTCACCCAGTCTGCACAAGCACAGTGCAAAGTCTTATGATGCCTGTTTGAGAGTCTTGGAGACAGGAAGTGACTTGCTCATGGTCATCTGCTGATGAGTGTTTCTGAGTTGGGAGCCAAAGCCAAGGCCCCTGGCTCAATCTTGTCCAGAACTCAGAGCATGAATCTGCTTAGTCATAGAGCAGACTGGTTGTCAGCAACCTGGGCATCTCCACTCTGGCCCCTGGGCTCCACTTCCTGGAGCCCCGAGGACATCACTTTACCCAGCCACCTCCATTTTGGTCTGCAGTATGGAACTGGGCACAGACTTGTCCTCTTCTCTACACAGAAGTCTCCCACCCTGGTTAGTGCACCTAACTACAGGTAGCAAAGCCAGTCTGGCTCCCGGCCTGGACCCATCCTCTCCACCCCGCCTTTGCTGTCCACTTTGGGCTCATTCCTTAGTCTGCCACATCTCCACCAGCTGTTCTTATCACCTCCAGATCATAGCATGAAGTGACATCATCAAAGAAAAAGACAGAAGAAATAGCTGTGAAGGATTTTTAAATTGGTCTTTTGGAAGGAAAGACTGTAAGCGCCCAGGCTGCCCAGTATCAGACTATCTAACACAGAAATCTGAATTCGAGTTCTTGACTTGAATACATCTTTTAAACTTCATGATCTTAGCCACGGTGCTCTTCCCTGAGACACCATATCTGATACCCACAACTTAATGGTTTACTTTGGCTCGTGTTTCAGTAGTCTCAGTTCTTGTGTGGCCAGCTGTCTCCAAGGTAGGATGGCATAACACAGAGACATGGTGGAAAAATCGCTGCTCATTTCATGGTGACCAGGAAGCAGAGAAATATGTAGGGAGCCGGGAACAGAGATAAACCCTTCAGGAGCAAGTCCACAGTGGCCCACCCCTTCAAACCAGTCCTACCTCCTCACTGCTATAACATCCCTATTATCCAATCACCTTACTAAGCTCCCACCTTTGCTCATGTGAACTTCAGGGAGACATCTAAAATATAAACTATATTGCCGTATGCCTCCATGTCTTCACATATAAAATAAGGATACTACTAGTACCTGTTCTAGAGCATTACTGTGTGAATTAAATGAGCTAATACACTATAAAGGGCTAAAATGTGTCTGACGCAGAATAAGTGCTTAGTACAAATGATCATTTTGATTAGAAATGGATGAGGATTGAATAATATATGTAGGAACTTCCTAGAAAAATGCCTTGCAGAGACTCAGCACTCAGTAAAATAGCTACATTTGTAGAATAGATTGTAATTTTTCTCACACATTATTATTTTAGGATTAGATACTC